ATTTGCCAAGTATATTATTTTCATTTCAGATTTACTTAAGTCAAAGGGTTCTCCCTAAAGGCACAATAAAAAGAATGAGTTTTGAAGAGTTATTTGAATGAAGACAAAAGACAGCAATTTAAGTCATTAATAGAAGTCTATGAAAGTTAATAGATAAAAAATAAAAGCCCAGAAAGAGGAAGGTATTAGGGGAAAAACAAACAAATAACAACAACCAAACCAAAACAAAACAACAACAACAAAAAAAAACAGAGAACAAGAGAGCAGTTAGAGACACTTGGTAATAAAGAGAATTAGAGAAAAAAGTAATCTCTAAAAATAAGGAGTTGCAGAGCTGGGAAGAAGTCTGAAGATTTTTCAGTCTAATAGAGTCTGTTTGCACTAACGTGTCTTTACATTGACTACAGAGGATTTCTGATCTAATCATATAAATTTCAGCTTGACGATCTCAAGGTATCTTGAATAGCAACATAAAAAAGGTTTTTTCTTCTTTTTAGTTAATGGTATAGGCCAAGTTTGCAAGAATACAGTCTTTGTCAAAATATCATCATAACTCTAAATAATGTAAAGTGTATATCTGTGATATTTTTGCCCAACCTACATTCCAGACCTTCCATCAGAGGTCATAAAAATTGCTAAATGTATGCCTTAATAACCATAAAACTAGTGTATAATGAAGTACAGTAGCACTTTGGTGAACAGACCAGTAAACTGCTTAAAATTCCTTAGGATGTTGCTATTGCAATCTGCTAATGTTGTCTCACTGGAGTTCAGCAGATCACAATTTAACAAAAAGAACAAGAAATCTATATAATATAATCCAGTGTGTATTTTCTGCGTATATGTATAGTTCGATCCCACACAAACTGTCATTATTATTACAGTTAAGATGCCCAGCATCTTACTGTCAAATAAAATGACTATATACTGAAAAGCAAATGCAATGCTTCTTTCTGAAATTGACAGCTGTGTAGACAGTTTTCCATCCAAATTTAGTTTAGGTGTACAAGAATTCTAATAACAGGTAATCAGAAGTGCTCATCAGAGATAGGCAAGTACTTCATTACATAAGTGTGTCTAATTTAACCATATTTTTCTCTTTAATGAAGCCTGTCCTAGTGAAAATTAGTGATCCAGCCCACACACTTCCAATTCTGTCAGTACATTCAGGTTATGTTTGCCATCTTTTTTTCTAGAATTCTAAAAATGATTTGTTTTCTTCTCTCTGATCTCCACTGGATATTTAGAGTAATTATAATTACTTTTTTTGGCAGGCTAGTGAAAATTAAACTCTTACAAGCAAAGAGGACAGAAAGGAGGAAGAGGAAGTAAAGAAGGGAAAGAAAAATCAGTTTAAAGTGAAGTTATCACAGATTATCATTGCAAGTAAGCAGAAAGCAGCTGCAAATTGTAATCTTAGAGCATGCTTCTAGGAGATGGTGACATTTCGTTGATACTTAATGAGAGCTTAGAGTGAATGTTTTACTGAAGTGAGGGAATCCATCTACTGGAAGATTCTAATGCAATGCAATTGGCAAGTTATTGTAAGAACAGAACAGAAGTGGAAGCAATTTAAGGATATCTTTCTGAGAGCACAAGAGCTCTCTACTCCCAGCAGAAGAAATCAAGAAGAGACAAGAAACAAGCATGGCTGAACAAAGATGTGCTAGTCAAACTGAGAGAAAAGAAAGAAAAGTAAAAGTACAAGCAGGGATGCGTGGCCTGGAAAGAATACAGAGATACCATGTAGATGTGCATATCTGAAAAGCCAAGGTGCATGTGGAACTAAACTTGGCGAGGAGTGTGTGAAACAGTAAGGAGGGATACCCTGATCAGAAGAGAGAGGCAAAGGAGAGTGCAACCCAGGCATGTCCAACTCATGGCCCACTCCCTTCTCCATGCCATCATGGTGGTGGCTTTTCCCCATTGAGTGGCCCAGCCTGGCCCCAGGCACACACCCATCATTTAGGAAGAACCAAAAATCAAGTTGATGACACCAAGCTGAGTTGTGCAGTTGACACCGTGGAATGAAGGGATGTCATCAAGAGGGCCCATGAGAACTTAGTGAGGTTCAACAAGGCCAAGTGCAAGGTACTGCACTTGAGTTGGGCAATCACAGATATGTGTACAGACTGGGAGAAGAAATCCTTGAGAGCAGCCCTGCAGTGAATGACTTGGGGGTCCTGGTGGACGAAAAGCAGGATATGAGTCAACAGTGTGTACTTGCCACTCAGAAGGCCAACTGTTTCTTGGACTTCATCAAAGAAAGTGTGGCCAGCAGAGTGAGAGTGGTCTGTCCCTTATACTCTGCCCTTGCAAGGCCCCATGTGGAGCACGATATCCAGGTCTGGGGACCCCAGAACAAGAGGGATGTGAAACTGTTGGAGCTGATCCAGAGGAGGACCGTGAAAATAATCAAAGGATTAGCGCACCTCTCTTCTGAAGAAAGGCTGAGGGAGTTTGTTTTGTTTAACTTAAAGAAGAAAAGGCTCCAAGGGGATCTCACTGCAGCCTTCTAGTACTCGAAGGGAGCTTTTAAACAGGAAAGACTGACTTTTTACAAAGGCAGATAGTGATAGGATAAAGAGGAATTACTTTAAACTAAAAGAGGGGAGGTTTAGTTTAGATGTGAGGTAGAAGTTGTTCACTCAGAGGGTAATGATGCGCTGGAACAGGTTGCCCAGAGATGCTGTGGAACGCCTCTCTGGAGGCATTCAAGGTCAGGCTGAATGGAGCCCTGGGCAGCCTGGTCTTGTGGGTGGTAACTCTGCCCACAGCAGGGGAGTTGGAACTAGATGATCTTTAAGATCCCATCCAACCTAAGACATTCTATGATTCTATTTTGGGGAATTCAGCAGTGTAACACCTCCCTTCTTCATGCAGTGTATCATTTTCAATATGCCCTGGAATCTGAGAGTTAGCAGAACCTGCCATATGTTGTACAGAGGCACTGCTTCAAAGAAGGAATATAACTTTTCACTCAAAACTCAGAAAAAGCACTGAAAATGAGTCTGTTCCATATAATGACTAATCACAGTATGTAGAGTAGATCCTGATAGCCATCATGAAAATCTCTACAGGGCAGCCAACAGTAGTTCTGACTGTTATGCTCACAGAGAAACAAACCTAAGATATATACAACTTGTTTTTGATGAAGATTTCTTGGATCTATCTGTCTATGTGTCTGAGCAGAGCTAAGCCAACTGTCCATCCTGTGCCAGTGTGTCTTCAGCAGCAGTCACAGAACCATAGAACTATTAAGGCTCGAAACCACCTCTGAATTCATCCACTCTAACTCATTGCTCAAGCAGGGATATCCAGAGTAAGGTGTTCAGGACCATGTCCAGGCAGCTTTTGGAAATCTCCAAGGAGGAAACTCCATAACTTCTCTGGGCAACCTATCTAAGTGCTCCATCATCCACACAGTACAGAAGCGATTCCTGTTTTCAGAGAGAGCCTCCTGTGTTCCACTTGGTGCCCATTGCTTCTTTTCCTGGCATGGGACACCACTGTGAAGAGTCTGGTTCTGTCCTCTCTGCACTGTCCCTTCAGGTATTTATAGACATTCATAAAATCTCCTGTGCCTTCTCTCCCAGCCTCTCCTCAAAGAGAAAGGTGCATCAGTCCCTTGATCGCCTTGGCAGCTGCATGTTGGACTTTCTTCAGTATATTTGTGTCTTTTTTATACTGAGGAGTTCAGAACTGGACAGAGTACTCCATATGTGAGTTCACTAGTCATCACACTCTCAGACAGATTGCATCTGATCCATTCACGTAGTAACAAGTTTTTCTATTCAGATGCGCCTTTCAGAGTTAATTCTTCCTGAAGAAGGAACTACCACAAATATCATGGAAATTTCTCTCCATAGAAAAAGCTGACAGTCTCAGCTGCCTAATTAGAGCAAAGAAAGGCCACTTTCAATGGCTGAAATGTCAGCAGTACAATTCCACAACAGTTCTGGCAGACAAAGCTATTCTGTAAGAGGGAAGCCATCTGAATCTGGTTTGTAGTATGTATGAGCTATCAGTTTGTTCAGCACAATGTATACTAAAATGCGTATACAATAGATTAAAAAAATCACAGCTACAAACAGTTAATGGATTCCTTTGTATATCAGTACTCTTGTCATTGTAGTTTATTACTGCAATACAATAGTGGTCAAACATAACTTGCAACCTGCTATAAAAGAAACTATGAAGAGGGATAGATATCATGATACTTCTCTTTAAATGCATTTGCCCCTGAAATGGAGCAAACAAAACCTGGATCACTGCAAGTGTGTGTGCTTTGCATGCAGAAGCCACAAAAAAAGTAACATTATGCAAGCCTGCTGAGAAAGTACAAGAAAAATAAATCAGAATGAAAGAAAGCTTTGTGGTTAATACATAAAGATGGAAAGATGGAATGAATGATTAAGAGGTGGGTGCTAAATGGTTACTGTCCCATTATATTTTAGGAACCTGATTTTTATTCTGCCAAGGTAAATGCAGTGTCAAGTAAAAGCAAGTTTAAATTTCTAATTTTAATATTTATTTAGGAGGGTACTGGGTGTTATTCACATTGACTTAAAATAACTTTTTTTTTTTTTTTTTTTTTTTTTTGTAAAAATAATATGCTAAGTAAAGGTTAAACTGAGTTATTTATTTAGAAGGTTCTCAGTTGCCAACAGGTAATGCAACACAGATCTAAGTGAATGGATGGTGGGGAACTGTTAAGCAGATTAGTCATGGTTTTATAATTTTTGGTTTTCGGTAGTCCACATCATAACATCATGTGGGGCACTGGGAGTTTAACTGTCAATGCTCAAGTCCTGGGTACTTGCCCTGAAGAGAAGAACTACATTCCCCAGGGGACCTTGTGGTCACAGAGAGGAGATATAACTCCTGGCAAGGTCACCTGATGCGCTCTTTTTCATCTGCTCTTTGTCATGGGCTCTTCTCCCGTCTCCCCACCGCTCAACTGCGCATCTCACCTCAGCGTAGTGGTGAGGCCTATCCACCTTTCGGACATTCTCTCTCTCATTACATTTGATTTATTAGCTTCAATTCTGATTATATTGTATTATAGTATGTTATCTTGCATTCCGATGATATACTTAGTAAATTAGTTTGTTTCCCTCAGATTGTTGCCATTTTTAATTATTTTGGGGTCCCCTGTTTCCCTTTTTCCGGAGGCATGGATCTGCGGATCCCTCCACCCCACTCATCACGGAACCAGACCGAACCTGCCCGTAAACCGTTGACATTCTTTGTGGAGGATGTGGGCAACAGCTGCTTTTTAGCTTTTTAGAATGAATCTCTCTCTGCTCTCAGAGAGCTTCATTGGGAAAGTTTATCTTTTTCACTGGTGCTCACTGAAAACTTGACCTTGAAAGTCTAGGTGGACTGCCAATATTCTGGGATACTTGTAAACTTAGAGCACTGCTATCTTGCTTCTGTAAAGAGAGAAAAAAATGATTCCACTTTCTCTTTTAAACCTGTTTGCAGAGGGAGCTGCTAACTTCACAGAACTTGGGATTTTTAAACAGGTTCCCAGCCTCTCCTTTGAATCCTTTATGCAGTTTTTGAATGCTCACCTGATCCCATTGTTAATCTCCCTGAATTTACTGCTCATCATTTCAGTCAGTACTTGTATTTATTGTATTTCAAGGAAGCCCTCCCCAGAACCAGAGGATACTGTGTGGCAAGGAGTGTGGAGAGGCTTGGGAGAGACTTTAGAGAGATGGACATCTTCAGTGTCATGTAACTTTACTCCTGAACACCTGAAAGACCCTGAGAGCTTAAACATTTATTTGAGACAGGAATGTTGCGGCTCAGGCAGGTCTGAGGAGGCACAAATGATTTGGGGCCTGGCTAGTGCTTATCGGGCCTTATTTAATAGTATCCCAAAAAGGGAGAGAGTTTGTGAAATTGAGAGAGTGTCTGGGAGCTGAGAGGGAGAATCTCTGGGCTCCTTGTCTCTCTCTCCTTGTCTCTCTCCTTGTCTCTTGAGCGAGAGAGTCTCCTTGTCGAGAGAAAAGACCTCCAATCTGAGAGGAATGTCCTCAAGTCTGAGAGAGATACCCTCCAAATCAAGATAGACTCCCTGCAATCCCAAAGAGAGAGTCTACAGGCTGGCAAGGAGAGTTTCCAGGAGAGACTCCAAGCTGAGAGAGTTAATCTCCAGGTCCAGAGAGAGTCTCCTAGTTGATAAACAGAGTCTCCGAATCCAAAGAGTGAGTGTCCAAGGCAAGACAGAGAATTCGGGTTGAGAAAGAGAGTCTTCTAGCCAGGAGAGAGAATCTCAAAACCTGGCAAGAGTGTCTCCAAGCTGAGAAAGAAAATCTCCAAGCCGAAGGGGACAATCTCCGAGATGAGAGAAGGAATCTCCAATCTCGACAAGATGCCTTTGAATCCAAGCGAGACTCCCTCCAATCCAAACTCGACACCCTCCAATCTGAACGGGACACCCTCCAAACTGAGTGTGACACTCTCCAATCTGAACTAAATCCTCTCATAATCGAACAAGACAGATGCCAAGCCGAGCTAGAGGATGAGAGCATCGGAACTGACCAACCTGACCAACCACAGGAGACACCACAATTGATTTCAGTCACCCCTGTAAGAGGACGGAAAATGAAATGAATCTTGACTCAGAACAGAAGAAAGAGGAGGAAAGAGGTCCAGAGGAGTGGCTCCGAGATCCAGGAGAAGCACCCCTGAGTCAAGGGGAGGGGCACTCAGTAGGACCACGGTCACCAACGCCTACAAGGGCAACAAGAAGTCCTGAAAGAGTAAGAGGTGAGCAAGATATTGTTACCATTGTTGATCGATCTCTGAAAATGAATGAAATTCGAAGTCTGAGAAAAGACTTCTCACGTCACCCAAATGAGCCTATTGCTACTTGGTTATTCGATGCTGGGACAATGGGGCCAACAGTGTGTGGCTAGATAGTAGAGAAGCTCGTCAACTGGGTGGCATTGCTAGGGACTCAGCTGCTGTACCGGATATGCTAGAATTCCAGTATGAACTGAAGTCAAAAGCAGCCAAGAGGTATGCCACCAGTAACATTGCTAATGCCTTTTTCTCCATCCCTTTGGCCAAAGAATCTAGGCCACAATTCGCTTTCATCTGAAGAGGCATTCAATATACCTGAAATTGTTTGCCCCAGGGGTGGAAACGCAGCCCAATCATTTGCCATGGGTTGATCCAATCTACACTGGAACAGGGTGGAGTTCCTGAGCACTTAAAGTACATTGATCACATTACTGTGTGGGGAACACAGCAAAGGAAGTTTCTGAGAAAGGAGAGCAAATAATCCAGATCCTTCTGCATGCTGGTTTTGCTATTAAGCGAAGCAAAGTGAAAGGACTTGCCCAGGAAATTCAGTTCCTAGGCATAAAGTGGCAAGATGGCCGTCGTCACATCCTGGCAGATGTGATCAACAAAATCACTGCCATGTCTCCACCCATTAATAAGAAAGAGACACAATCTTTTCTGGGTGCAGTGGGTTTTTGGAGAATGCATATTTCAAGCTACAGCCTCATTATAAGCCCCCTCTATCAGGTGACTTGGAAGAAATATAGTTTTGTGTGGGGTCCCGAGCGGCAGCAGACATTTAAGCAGATTAAGCAGGAGATAGCCTGTGCTGTGGCCCTGGGGCCAGTATGGACGTTGCAGGATATAAAGAACATTCTCTACACTGATTCTGGAGAGAAAGGTCTCACTTCGAGTTTGTGGCAAAGAGCCTCAGAGGGGACCTGCGACTGACCCCTGGGATTCTGGAGTGCAGTGTACAGGGGGTCTGAAGAGTGCTACACTCCAAATGAAAAGGAGATCTTAACTGTGTACAAGGGGGTTTGGGCTGCTTCCGAAGTAGTCGGTACTGAAATGCAGCTCCTTCTAGCACCTCAACTGCCAGTGCTGAACTGGATGTTCAAGGGAAGGGTTCCCTCTACCCATTGTGCTTTTGATGCCACTTGGAGCAAGTGGATTGCATTGATTACACAACGAGCTCAGATGGGGAACCTCAGTCGTCCAGGAATTTTAGAAGTGATCATGGACTGGCCTGAAGGTAAAAAGTTTGGAACATCACCAGCAGAAGAGGTATTGCAAGCTAAAGAGGCCCCACCATACAATGAACTACCAGAAAATGAAAAGAAATATGTCTTGTTCACAGATGGATCATGTCATATCGTGGGGAGGCATCGCCGATGGAAAGCTGCTGTGTGGAGCCCCACACGACAAGTTGCAGAGGCCACTGAAGGGAAAGGAGAATCAAGCCAATTTGCAGAGGTAAAGGCTGTCAAACTGGCCTTAGATGTTGCTGAACAGGAGACGTGGCCAATGCTTTATCTTCTTACTTACTCATGGATGGTGGCATGTGCCTTATGTGGGTGGTTACAGCAGTGGGAGCAAAACAACTGGCAAAGAGGGGGTAAACCTATTTGGGCTGCTGAACTGTGGAAAGATATTGGTGCCCGAATAAAGAATATGGTTATAAAGGTGCGCCATGTAGATGCTCATGTGCCAAAGAGTTGGGCTACTGAAGAACAACAAAATAACCATCAGGTAGATTGAGCTGCCAGAGTTAAGGTGGCTCAAATAGACTTGGACTGGCAACACAAGAGTGAATTATTTCTAGCTCGGTGGCCCTGTGAAGCCTCGGGCCAACAAGGAAGAGACGCAACATACAAATGGGCTAGAGACCAAGGGGTGGACTTAACTATGGATACTGTTGCACCGATTATTCATGACTGTGAAACATGTGCCACAATTAAACAAGCCAAGAGGATGAAACCTCTCTGGGTGGAAGTGCAATGACTAAAGTATAAATATGGGGAGGTGTGGCAGGTTGATTATATCACCTTGCCACGATCTCACAGCGGTGTTATGTGGTTACTATGGTGGAGGCAACCACTGAGTGGCTTGAAACATACGCAGTAGCCCATGCTACCACCCGAAACACAGGCCTTGAGAAACAAGTCCTGTGGCAACATGGTAGAATTGAGTCAGATAATGGGACTCATTTCAAAAATTCTCTTGTAAATACTTGGGCCAAAGATCATGGCATTGAGTGGATTTACCATATTCCCTATCATGCACCAGCTTCTGGTAAAATTGAACGCTACAATGGGTTGTTGAAAACCATGTTGAAAGCAATGGGTGGCAGAACATTTAAGCACTGGGAGAAGCATTTGGCAGAAGCCACCTGGTTGGTCAACACTTGAGGATCTATCAATTGCGATGGTTCTGCCAGCTCCTGCATACTGTCAAGGGAGATAAGGTCCCTGTAGTACATGTAAAGAATGTGTTAGGAAAAACGGTTTGGGTCTTTCCAGCTCTGGGAAGGGCAAACCTCACTGTGGAATTGTTTTTGTCCAAGAACCTGGGTCCACTTGGTGAGTGACGCAGAAAAATGGGGATGTTCAATGTGTACCACAAGGGAATTTGATGTTGGGGGAGTGCAGTCAGTAATTAAATGTATAAGTATATGTGTATGTTTCATGTTTAGTAATTATAGTTTGTTTGTATATATTAAGCATGATGTAGTGATGTAGAATAATGGGTGGAATGTCATGGTTTTACGATTTTTTGTTATCAGTATTCCACATCATGTAGTGCACTGGGAGTTAAAAGCGTTAATGCTCAAGTTCTGGGCACCTGTCTGGAAGAGAACTACATAACGCGCAGAGAGTGTTGCAGTCAGAGAGGAGATAAAATTGTTGCAGGCGACTGCGAGACCCCCCCACGGGATGTGACGCGATAGGCCCTCTCCCTGCCCTATGATTGATGTGTGGCACATGCCCTTAGGGGCGTAGACGAAGTACATAGGTTATATAAGCTAGAGTTCACGTGTAATAAACGCCATTTTGCTGTTCATAATATTGGTGTGTGCGTGCAGTCATTTGGTCCTGGCCTGGTTTTAGGTCAGTACCACAGGAGGCAATGCAACATACAACCCCTGGCAAAGTCACCTGATGTGCTCTTCTTCGCCAGCCTCTCCTCCCTGCTACTCAACAAGAGTAAGCATCT